AAATTGAGAAGTATGAAATTGATGAAAAAAATTGTTGAGGTACAAGAATAAAATTTGCATTCCTGATATTAATGATTTGCGAAAAGAAATTTTGTATGAAGCACACTATTTAAAAAACACAATATATCTAAAAATCAAAAAGATATATCATGAACTCAAAAACTTATTCTGATGGTCGGGATTAAAACACAATGTAACAAAGTTTGTGATAAGATGTCCAACTTTTCATATGTCAGAAGTCTAGTGTGCATTTGCAACCATTGTCTATCCCAAAGCGGAAGTGGAAAGACATTATGGATTTTTCGATTAAGCTACTAAAATCAAAGTAAGGTCGTGATGTTATATGTAAGATTATTGATTGTCTAGCCAAGTCTACATATTTATTGCCTATCAGACAAATTGATTATGTGGATAAGTTGGCCAAAATATATATTGATAAAATTGTGCGATTGAATGGAGTCCCAAAGTCAATTATTTCAGATCGAGATAGTAAATTTACATCCAAATTGTGGAGGAAAATTCAACAAAGTTTAGGTACACTAACATTTAGTACAATATTTCAACCTTAAATAGATGATCAATCAGACAGAACAATTCAATATTAGAAGACCTATTTAGACTTTGTGTTGGGAAGTGAGCATAACTCTGATAAAATTTGCTTGTAGCAATAGCTTCCAGTCCAATATTGATATGACTTCATACGAAGCCCTATATGGAGGAAAATACATAACACCTCTTTGTTGGGTAGAAACAAATGTAAGGAAAAAATTCGGTGATGGTTTTGTTGATGAAATTATTAAGAACATCAATTTGATTCGTGACAGACTAAGAACTCTTCAAAATAGCCAGAGAGTATTATGATGCTAAACACATATGATGCACAAAACTTCTAATTAAAAAATTGTGCAGTGTTGGATACGGTCATGGCTTCGACACTACTCTGACACGTATCGGACATGACATAAAAGTGTATTTAAATAATATTTTAAAAAAAAAGACACGAGCGAAACACGTGCAGGACATGCACAGAACAACCGTGTCCTAAATTAATGAATTAAAATTTTCTAAATATATAATTTATGTTAAATTGAAGAAAATTTAAATACATATCAATAAATTTTTACGTATTTACATATCTAACACATAAATTTTAATTTTACATATATGTCTCCTTACATCTATATAAAAATGTGTATATCACAATGTAAAATTGAAAACAGCAGTATATTAGATGTGACATGAAAGATTTGGGTAGCATAAGAGAAAAATTAAAATGTAGGTGTTAGAAAATGTAAATACATAAGAATTCTGTGTCAACGAAGAGCTAATGATCAATTTTTTAATGAATAGTTAATGAAAAGCACTAAAATCTTGACATAATACAAAATAATATATATTGTATATATTTTGATTATTTTTAAATACAATTTAATTTATTTTTAAAGATAAGATAAAATTATAAAAATTATCTTAAGTAAAACATGAAATAAAATTGATGTCAAACGAGCTCTTAGTTTTTAAAAAGTTAGTGTTATTAAATTTATTATTTTCTCTTATATATTATTGTTAATATTCTTTTATTTAATTTCATATATATTTAAAAAAAATTATAACGTTGTGTCCGAGACGTGTTCGTGTCCTATATTTTCAATAATAGACGTGTCATTTGTCCCTGTGTCATGTTGTGCCCATGACCTGTGTCCGCGCAGCATAACTAAACATCGACAAGTGGAATTTGAGGTAACATAATTTTTTTTTTTTTGAAATTCAATCAATCTCATGAAAGATGTTAAACGGTTTGTAAAATCTGGGAAGCTAAGCCCACGGTATATTGGTATGTCTGAGATCGTGGGGAAGATTGGGAAAATGGCTTATAGAGTTGCGCTAGCAACACATATGTACGGATACATGATGTGTTCCATATCTCCTTATTGCGAAAATATAATGTTGATGAGGCTAGGATGCTTGTCACGAACCTTATATATATATATTCTACATGATTTGATATTTGTGGAAGAACCATAAAAAACTAGAATATGATGAGCAACTCAGAAATAGAGATATTCCTTCTATCCATGTATTATGAAAGCATGGGACAGAAAGAGATGCCATATGGGAGAAAGATTTATAAATGAGTGAAAAATATCCCAATTTTTTAATTAAGTTATGAATTAGGTTCTTGTACTTTAAATTTGAAGAACAAAATTTTTTATAAGGATGAGAGATTGTAATAATAATTCTATTTATTAAGTTAAATATAAATAAAAGAGATGAATTTACCTGCTTAAGACACCTGCGGACCAGATGTCGTTTGCTTAAGCCCACACCACTCAGGGGGTAAATAACTAAGGGCATGATGCCCTCATTCCTCTTATCTCGCATGAACAGTGAGGGTGAGGTAACAAATGAGAGAGTGAGAGAGAAAGGGAAAATGAGAGACAAAAAGAAGAATGAAGAAGGAAAAACAGCATCTCTAGGAAGGTGGCTCGAGCGGCCTTGACGATTGTCGCGAGCAGCAAGCGCAGGAAGTTGCAGGAGTAGGCGAGCAGTTCACGCAAGCCTTCCTCACACATCTTCGATCAATCGTGAGGAGAGGAGGGCGAAGGGGAAGCCGAATGGCTCTTTTCAATGGCGCACTGTTTTTTAGCACTCACGAAGAGCTCGAGTAAACTCCTTAAGCTCACAATGCAAGGAGCAGTTTGAGCGAGAGCCGAGAGCTTTTCCTGCAGCTGATAGAGGCTCGATCGAGCCTTTTGAACTTCTAAGGAGAAGAGTAGCTCACGCATAAGTCTTTCATGCAAGTTAAAGACACTCGTGCAAATTCCATTATTAAGCAAGGAATTTAATATGAACTTCAGGATTTTTGTATTTTAAACTAAATGAAGAAATTTGGAAGAACATTTAGAAACTCTAGAATTAATTACTGAAATACTGTAAAATCATGTTTTACAGTTTTGATGAGGAGATTGAATCCGTAAAAGAGTCTTTGTTGTGAGAACTAAATTCATGTATGAAGTTGATTTCAATATTAAATTACTATTTCCTTGACTAATTTTGTGATGTTTGAGTTACAATTTAAGAAGCCTACGCTTAAAAGTCAAATTATGTTGCTTCTAGATCAAGCATGCCAACTGAGGCTTAGGAAAACTACTTCATCAAAAATTTGATAGTTAATCGATTTAATTGGGATTGATTATTATCCAAATAACAATATATATTTTCATATAAAATAAGAGTTACCAAATTAATTAGAAAAATTAACAAAAAACATATCAAATAAATAATAATAACAGTGAGACCAGAATTAAGTTTAAAGAAGGAAAAAAATAAATATAAGCTAATTAACTCAAATTTGTTACTAAAGATGCATAAAAGGACTAGAATGATTCGATGCAAAAAAGACAAGTGACTATACTGAAAAAGGCAGGTATATATGTTTTTATTTTACAATAGTATTTTTTATTTATGGAATTAATTGCAACTGTTTTTAATATTTTGATATTTTGAGCACATTTAAATAATACAAGTTTCCTTTTTAGAAAAAGTTAAATGAAAAAAAACAATTAAATATTATAAATGTATACTTTTGTAGAGTTACTCCCAAATGGTCCTGGTTGAGGATGCAATATTCCCGTGTACGTAAAATGGAAATGAAAATGATTGTGTAATTTTGGTGAGTTTTGAAAAAGTTTAAACGTATGTTTTTAATATACGTTTAGATGGTGGCTCTCATGATGGATATTGTAACTAAAATAAATGAAAGTAACGAAAAAAATTATTTCTTTACTATCTCCTTTTATTGCTTACAGGATTTTTTTAAAAATATTTTTTAAATAAAAATGATTATAAATTTAGAAACACTTACTTAGTTTAACTCATAGCTTTTATTGCTAATATTTTTCAGGAAAACCTATTTTAGAATAGATTGGTCCTAAAGAGCATGTATATAGATGTTGAGGAGCCAGGGAGATAGGCATCATAGTTCAGTATATTCAATTTCAACTTTTAATTTTCTTTCAATTGTAAAAGTTTTAAATCTAAACGAATGTTTGTAGATTAAAATTGTGTAATAGAATGGCTCCTTTATGTGTTGAATGATTCTGTTTAATAAATAAACATGTTTCGATAGTTAGTTTCGCTTCATTCCTGTCTTGTATTCTAAGCTCCCGGGCAAGGTCGTGACAGTTATCTAATATTTACTCCACTAAAGTCACAAGAGAATCTTGCAGATAAAACTCAAATAAATTTCTCAAAAAAAAAGATAAGCCAAATGTGGGGCAGATTATCTTTTCATTAAATAAAATAAAAGAAGAGTTCCTTTCTAGCAAATATTACCTAAATTTAAAAAAATTTAAAATAAATAAAGAAAATCAAGCAACTCTTCCCTTCATAATCTTAACTAAAATTATGCATACCTTAACCTACAAAATGGATCAAAAAGCATTATGAACTTCAGGTTGAGATGTACTACACAATGCTATGTACAAAACAAGTTGCCAACTAGGTTTAACAAACTACATCAGTTCACCTAAAGGAATTTAAATATTGGTCCTGAGTAGACTTCCGAAAATGTCCTGCCACCTGATAAAAGCAAAATTGTTGTGTAATTGTGCTCTCTAGAAAGCAAAGTAAAATAAAAAAAATGCTGAAAATAAATAAAAAATGTGGAAAAAAGTGACTATATTATTCACCCGATGAACCATCTAGCTTAATAATGAATATCCATGAATCAAAACGTTCACAAGTATTCTTGGAGCTAAGCAATGTCGATTACTGATCACCAGGCTGGTTGTAAGAAATATGGAGAGTGGAATTTTTCTTTGGTAAAAGTGAATGGCAACAGAAACGAAGTCTTCCAAATTTTGCCAGCATAAACTTGAAAAGCTACATCAATATGCATATATACATCTTGCCTTAAACTCATATTAAACAAACTGAGAAAGCTCAATGATGATTGCTAAAGTGAAATAAGTTATATAGTATAATTAATGGGAAAAGACCTTTTTTGTTCTTTGCCTTCGTATACTCCTTCGCCTTCTCAACTTCTGTAGCAGCCTTCTTCATGAGAACTTTTTCCTTTTTCTCTAGCATCTCAAGGGTCTACAGCATTATTCAGAAGTCATGGTTAAAAGCCCCAAACAATTATTGATCAAGACTTCTAATACATAGTAACACTAAAGTAGAGATAAACATGTCATGATATTGCTTCACATATCATTATTAATATCAGTAAAACCAGTATGATCTGTCTATGCTGTTGAATGCAGATTTCATTAATAAGAGACATTTGTATTTAGATTAGTCGACTCCTGCAAGATTATAATAGTTTTCTAAGTAAATATTTTCAAGGGAAGGCAAACAGATTGTAAGTTGCAGTTTATCAAGTCAAAATTGTAACCCCAAGATAACGGAGCTACTCTTATTATAGTTTTGCATTCCTCACCCTTAGCACTAGTAAGAGAACCAAGTTGGAAAGCTAATGTGGAAAAAAATAAAATATTAGATTAGATAGGAGTCAACAGAGTGCAATGTTCCCATTTTTATAATTTTAAAAATCTTTGATCCCATAAATGATAAAGGCAGAATAAAAAAATTAGGCCATCAAAATCTCAAGGAAAAAAAAAATAAACAAAAAAGACACCTTACTTGATACAGATCAAATACCTAGCTCTAAAATAAGAAGAAATAAGAGAGTTACTGAAAGGTCTCAACAGCTAAAACTTTTAATGACAGAATAAATGAAATCATCAAAAACAAAGAATTTTTTGCTCACATAAAAATTCTAGTAAATATGTGTATGCACAAAACAATAGCATGCATCAGCATAATCTAAGATTTTTCAGACATCATAATATCCGTCATCAATCCGTTCAAACCTATAAATCAGGAGAACAGGTTAGCAATGGACAACAAATTGTGCATCCTACGCGAAATACATTGAGTGTCACATGCAGTAGTTTGATTTACTCATCAATAGAATATGTTAGCCCACAAAAAGGCCTTCCTATATCTCTCCCACCATGTTCCCAGATCCTTTCCTTTCTCCCGCTTTTCATATCAACCCGCCTGCAACATCTCCCCTACACACGTCCGAAATCGCCGATTAATGTAGATTGGCTTGGTACGCACAAATTGTGGAGCACAGTCATAACAAAATAGTTAGATGTGCACTAGCACAAAAATAAAGCAAATGATCATAACATTATGCTACAATAAATGGAAAACACAATGGAATCTATCAAATTACATACAATAAAATTCTCACAGTAACATCCATAAAAACCAGAAAACACGTCATAAGAAGGAGAAAGGGTGAATTTAGTTGATTTCAGAATATAGACGTAGACGTACTATTTTAGATGAATAAAGAAATCAATCAATTTGCACTAAACGAGGCAACCGTCTTTGCATGAGATAAAACACAAGCAGAACTAATGCAATGCAAAGACATTATCTGATAAGATGATATGAAACAATATTGGCAGCCGATAGACATAAGAAGCTGCTTCAGAACTAAATGAGAGAAAATAATAACTTCCTTCAAATTGTAAAGGCAACATGACAGAGCAAACACAAGATTGCTCTCTTAAAAAAAATAAATAAATAAGATGTAGAAGTCAAATTTTTTTTATAATTTTGAATCAATATATTCTTAATAAAATGAGAGGCTTGAAGGTTCCATATCATCCTTCACAACTGTCAATAACTTTCTCAGCAAAAAGCAAGAATCAATCAGGGCATGGCAAAAAGCCAATTAATTGTCATTTTTACAATAATTTACCAAAACAATATAAGGAGACTAATTGGAATATCCTTTGACACGGAAAAAATCACTGACAATTAGCCAATAAAGGAGCTCAAATTGCAAAGAAATTAAATATTTCTAAAAAAGAAGAATCTTACTAATCTTGTCTTGACCGGAGAGGGGAAAAAAAATTTTTTTTCTTTTTTTTTTAAAAACACCATTTTTTTTTTTTTTTTTTTTTTTTTTTTTTTTTTTTTTTTTTTTTTTTTTTTTGCACAAAGCATGAACTGTACTGCATCCCTCTTAAAAAAACTGTAAACAATTTGATCCATTTTATCCAGTCCAATGACAAAACATAGCTAGTCCTGACTGACTGACGCACATTAGGCTTCAGACCAACCATTGGTGCCCATGAATGCCTGCAAAATGTTTAACTAGAGCATCAATGGACTTGAACTGGTTAGACCAACTCAAATTTGGCTAGTACCAGTCTTCTCTATGTGAATCGGCCCATGGCATGAAATGGACCGTTCCAAATGGGCCAGCTTGTGAAAATACTGTCAAGTAGTTTTTGCAAGAAAAAGGTTTATCCATGTCACTTGTGGATGCAAGGTTGCTGGACTAAGATTTTATAGATTGCATGCATGCACTGTAAGTAGAGTGTTTCCCTAAGGAAAAACTAGAGACAGAGGAGAATGGGCTATCTCTTGACATCAGAGATAATCTGGGCACCTCTCCCTCTTACCTCACTTTAATATATATTTCCTGTTCTTGGGGAGAAACCATTGGGGGATGGAGATGACTTTGCTGCAATATATAAGAACCATTTGAGTGAACCTAATGTAAATAAGTTCCGATGGCATCAATATCCAACATGGTCCCAGGATTCAGAAGGCCAGATATTGTTCCCAATCTACGTAGCATTATACCAATGCCAATTACAACCAAATATTTTGAAAATCGAACTGAACATTGAACTAAGAGAATGAGAGGTTTAATGTTCAAGAATTTACCTAAATAGAATAACATAATAAACATCAAAGTTATTTTTATATAATTTAAATATAATAATAATGCAATGACAATATTTTCATCAATTCAATATACAATACTCTAAAATAAGAACACTTCATTATTCAATATTTTGAATATGGTATCAAAAACCAAATCCATCTGCTCTTGCATTCAACTGTTGGTTCCAATCGGTAATAAATTGTGTAAAAACTATTTTGGAGCTGAACTAAAGTGGCCTTTGGATTGGTTCACAACCAAACGGGTCAATCCTATCTGATTTTTAAAAATACGCTACCACCATATTGACTCCTCAACAAAGTGGTGATCGAATCCTACTCTCCATCTCTACTCTACAATATTGGTCGCTAACCCTATCACGAATATATTCATTTCGTATTTTGTCTCTAAGAGTAAAGCCACTCATCCACCTAATCATTTTCATCTCGGCAACATTTAACTTATTATTATGCTTCTCTTTTAAAGGCCAACAATCGGAGCCATAGAGCATTGCAGGTCTCACCACCATCTTATAATTTTTTTTTTCTTTCAATCTAAACGGTACTTTTCTATCACACAAAAGGCCCAAAGCATTCCTCAACTTCAACCAACCAACTTGAACTCTACTACTAATATTCTCATCTATATCACCATCGCTTTGAACAACAGACCCGACCTCTTTTAATAATTTGATCACCCAAAGTTACACTTCTGTCACTAGAGTTACTACTACTAAAATTTCATTTCATGTATTCGGTTTTAGTTCTACTCAAATGAAGGCCTTTAGACTCCAATGTAGACCTCCATAATTCAAGTTTTTCCTGGGCTTTTTCTCTCGTGTTATCCAAGAGAAGGATATCATCACCAAAAAACATACACCAATGTACATCGTCCTATAAATGTCCAGTAAGACCATCCATAACTAAAGCAAAAAGATATGGCTTGCTAAGAGCATAAGATAGAATAAATATATTTATGTCAATGGTGAACAATTTTCTAAAATAAACTATTTCCCGCCTCATTAAAAAATAATTGATACATCACACATTAAAATGCTTTCTTTTATAATGTTTTAGCTTCCTCTATTATTTTTATTAGGATACTAGTATTATGTTACATTTTTGGAAAAGATTTGGAAACCAAATTATTTGTACGAACATGAACTTCCCTTCCAACTTCCACCCATGAATTGATGACTATATTAAATTTATACACTGCAATTATGTTAAACCTCCTCTGATGCCTTGAAAGAAACCACTTAGGCACTTGGGATTTCACACATCCTACTACAAAGATCATTGTAACAGCTCAATTACCCAAAAAACTATGAAACTATTTAAATATGCACCCCTAAATGGTCTTTATACTTTAACACTCTACCCCAACTTGCATCATATTTCTTTTATGTTGAATCACTAAGTCAAAACTACATGTCAATCATCCATGCCATAGTGTTTTGAAAAAGGAAAAGTATAAAAGCAAGCACTCATAAAAGTTAACAGGAATTATTTGAAGAAGAACATGATCTCATTTGTATACATTTTGAATGAACTCCCACCATGTAACTATAGCACTCAAATAGTGACTTTGGCATAAAAAGGAACAAGATTGGTTCATGCCACACTAAATCTGTTTTTTTTCTTTTCTGTTCATTTAAAGAAAACCTATGCAAGAGAACATGTTTGCAATAAATGAGAGTAGTGATAGCTTGCTCAAACCCATGGCAACTATATGTTGTTTTCCGGCTAAGAGTCTCCAAGGAGACATTCTAGAACAAAAGAGGGTTATGCATAGAATGGAATGGAATGGAAATCTCTTGAATCACAACTTGCATTTGGATGTTGTCATCATCAACAACTCCCCATCGGGTTCCTCTGACTTTATTAAGTCCTTCTAAAACTACCATTGTCTACGAGCACGCAATCTTTATCATTACCATCTCAACTTCAAGCTCATGGTTTATCTCCGAGCTCATACTCTGCAACATTTTTTAGCTTGATTGTGGTCGTTCAATCTATCTGCGACTTTTCAAATAATTATCAGGCATTTCATTATTAAATTTGTTAGGGTAGAGTGCCAATGTCATTTTTTTTTTAATTTTTTGTATTATTCAGGATGGCTTTGCTTTAGAATGATATAAGCTCATGTATAATTTCCCATAATTTTATCAACCAACTAACCTAGCAATCCTTCAATCAAATAATATTAATTTCACCTTCTACGGCAGCAAATAGATTTCGTTTCAAGAAAACAGATGCAAACTGTTGACCCAACTAGAATATAAATTACATCCATAGACAGAAAAAAAACTAAATTTCTCCAATCAAATCAAAAGGTGGCATCAAAAAGTCTAAAAAAAAAAAAAGCAAATGAATTTAGATAACATCCATTCCAACATGAAATCTCCATCAGAAAGAGAATACATACCTCACTTAACTTCTCCAAGGTCGCCAAGGCATTGGTCTGCTCCTTAGGTTTCCCAAAAAGCCTGTTCAGCATGTTTGCTGTCTTCTAAATACCCCGCTGAGGAAGATAGCCCTCGAATTCACAATCGCCGCGAACCCTAAATGAAAGTTGTTCTGCGGGTCGAAGAAGCAGAAATCCGAAAAGAAACCCTTCACGACCGATACTTAGAAAAACTAAGGGCGATACGGTTGGAAGGGAAATCTGACTGTATATCCGACTTTGATTATTTTAAATTATAAATTATGCTTTTCTTTTCTTTTTTTTAGGAAATTCACACTTTGGTAATTTTATATATATGCCAT